CCCAACAGCTTGTCAGCATTTGTTCCTTTTTGAATTCATAGTGACAGTCATTCTTTGTGAAGTAAGACTGAATCAGTTTTTTTTCTTTTTCCGTACTTCTCATGGCCAAAGATGCTGAACATTTTTATGTACTTATTGGCCATTTTATTTCTTCTTTGGTGAGGGGTCTATTAATTTCAATTGCTCATTTTTTATTTGGTCTTTAATTTTGAGGGTGTGGCTTTTTTAGTTCTTTGTATAGTGTAGATATTATTTCTTTGTTTAGCAGTAGTGGGCAATTTGTCCTTTTCTTTATCTCTTATCTCTGTAGTTTATTTCCTTTGCTGTGTAAAATACTTAATTTGAAATGATCACATCTGTTGCTTCTTGATATTATTTCTTTTGAAATTGGTGTTCTGTTTAGAAAGTCATTGCCTATGCACATGTCTTTATTAGTTGTATTGTTTTTAACTTTGAGCATACTAACTGTTTCTGTTTTCATGTTTAGGTCTTTGATCCATTTTTATTTTATTTTAATAGTAGTGATAAGTGTGAGTCTAGATTCATTGTTTTACAGGTGGGTAACCAGTTTCCCTAGGAACATGTATTAAAAGAGCCTATCTTAGTCCAGTGTGTGTTTGGAGCCCCTTGTCAAAAAATCAAACAGCTGAAGGTAGCTGGAGTTGTTTCTGCATCCTCAATCGTATTCCATTTATCAACATTTTTATTTTTATTTTTTATTTTTAAAATTTTTTTATTTATTTGAAAGAGTAGAAGAAGGATAACATAGTAATAGGGGGATTTATCGAATTACAGACAAAGTGGTAGGACAATATCAATGGTTGTTATTTTACCTATTGGTATCTTCAAGATAGTTTCTTAGGAAAACAAATAGACAAATAATAGTGAGTTACAGGCAAAAATGGTAGGAAATTATCAATGGTTGTTGTACTATACTTTGGTTTCTTCAAAGTGGTTTCTAGGGAAAACAAATAGAGCTATACATGAGTGATCAATTAAATAATCATTGACTATTCTCAATTGTTGTTGTTGAAAACACATAGTAATAAACATACATCCATTTATCAATTGTTGTTGTTGAAAACACATAGTAATAAACATACATCCA